TTCTTTAAGACGATGTCCATGAAGCGCTTAGAAAACCATCTTGTAATATGACACAATTTATCATAATAACGATAAATATCTTCATTTTGCCCACTTCTAGTCCAGTGTGGACTTGATTATGGTTCTCAGTCTTAGATTCTTGATTATATGCTAATTTCCAAGCCCTTAATGAGAAAAATTGTGTGTGACTGCTGGGAAAAAACATGAAGGTGGGTAGTACAAGGTGCTCCCCTCCCAAAAAATGGACCTGACACTATAACACACAAATGGTCAGTCAGCCATGCCCCAAGCTCTTTCTCAAGTCTCTGACTGTTTCCTGTTTTGTTTTCCAGGTGCCACAGTTTCTACAGTAAGCGCTATTCTCGTGCGCTCTACTTAGGTGCCAAGGCTATCCAGCTCAACAGTAACAGTGTGCAGGCGCTCCTCCTGAAGGGGGCAGCATTGCGCAACATGGGTCGAGTACAGGAAGCCATCATTCACTTCAGAGAGGCCATGAGACTGGCACCCTGCCGACTAGACTGCTACGAAGGTAAGAGGAGAGTTTGTGAACATAGTCAAAAAAATTTTTGCTTAGAAAATCGGCAACACACTTTCACGGGGGGGTTTAAACTTTTGCAGACAAATGTTAAAATGCAAGGCTGGGGAATAAACTCATTTTCAGACGTTGACTGATACCAGATTATTTATTATTTATATTATTTGTATATTTATTTTGTGTGATCTCATGTGCCTGAGTCTCCCACACAATTGTAATTCTTTATTTTACGATCATTGTAACTCTGTATTCTTATTAAAGGGCTGATTGACTGTTATCTGGCGTCTAACGGCATCCGTGAGGCAATGGGCATGGCCAACAACATCTATAAGACACTTGGTGCCAATGCTCAGACGCTGACCATCCTGGCCACAGTCTGTCTGGAGGATCCTATGACCCAGGAAAAGGCAAAAACTCTGCTGGACAAAGCTCTCGCCCAACGGCCAGATTATATCAAAGCTGTGGTGAAGAAAGCAGAACTTCTCAGTATGTAACCACTTCTCAGAGCTAAGAGGAAATGTGCTCAGTACTCAGACTAGCACTTCTGCTTAGCTCACCCTGATCTCATATTTTCCTGACCTTGTAGGTCCTCATTTATATCAGCTCTGAATGTATGTGTTTGTCCTGTTCAGGTCGAGAACAGAAATATGAGGAGGGAATAGCACTTCTGCGAAATACACTGGCCAATCAGAGTGACTGCATGCTACACAGAATGCTGGGAGATTTTCTGGTAGCTGTGAATGACTATCAGGAGGCCATGGACCAGTACAGCATAGCACTGAGGTAACCACTCCTTCTTTTAGTAGCCTTTCTGTGGAGCACCATTAACCCTCAGAGACCCAGGCTTTGATTTTGTAGATGTATTTATTTTATTTTTTTCTCTTTTAAATTTGTTTTTTTGGAAGACACTGACCACGTATAGTATGAAGAATTTTTATAACTACAGGTTAAAGTTTAATTATATGTAATATTTGTTTTTAACGCAGTGTGTGACAAATGAAAAACAAGGTCTCTGAGAGTTAAACTTACCTGCCTGTTCTTCAGTGATGTAAACTTAAAGGGCCCATAGGATAGAAAACTTTCATTTTCCAAACTATTATGAAGTAAGAGAGTTTCATCATGTATGTACAGGATACAAAATGTACTATTCTCCAGTCCATGTGTGGCAGCTAAGCTTCAAAAATAGCCTGTTTTTTAACTCATTGTTTTTGTGATGTCACAAAAACAAGTATATTTGCATACATCCACAAATGCATATATCCAGTTTACAGCAGTTTAGCCTCATCAGAATTATTCCAGAGTATTTCAGCTTTTTGAGTGAAGCACAATATAGGGTAGCCAGTCAAAACAGAGGTCAGTCACATGTATCAATCTTAAAGGCACAGTAAAGGGCTCTTTAAGCGTTGGCCCTATCATCAGGAGATCGCGAGTTCGATCCCTGGTGATGCTACAGCCATCCGTAGCCGGGAGTCCGAGAGAGCACAATTGGCCTCGCTCTCTCTGGGTGGGTAGGATGGCCCCTCCTTCTCCCCCCATCACTCAGCGCGATGCTAGTCAGCGCAGGCGTCTGTTAGCTGACGTAACAGATCTGGCGGTTGGCGCTTTCCTCCGAGCGCGTTCGGCTGTCCAATGACGTTGCGTGAGCGGCATAAAGAAGCGGTGGTTGACTTTACAGATCTCGAGGAAGCCTGTGTTAGCCTTCACCCTCCTAGCGTTGATAGCATCGTGTGATTAGGGGAGTCCGAACTAGCGGGTGGAATTGGAGACGACTAAATTGGGGAGAAAATCGGGTAAAGAAAAAAAAAAGGCACAGTAACAAAAACAGCCTCTTTATTTCCAAGGGATAAAGAGAGGTTTGAAAAATGGCCATGTAAAAATTAATTATGACCTTTTGGAACATAAATCTGTACAAATGATATAAATGGACCTCAATGGGAGAAAAATACAAGAAGATTATAGGATCTGGGCCCTTTAACTAATCTTTCACTGAGGTAGTCTTTTCTGCTGATTCCATCTGATTAATGATGAATGTTCTTATAGTCTAGACATTTGTATTACTTTTACCCACACTATAATTTGAGCCATGTGGAAAGGTCTAAATGTGTAAATGTAGTCTGTCTTGCAGTAAGCTCTTCACTGTGTGACAGGGAAACAACTGATTAGTAACTAGAATAATTAGAAGCTCTAGAAAGGAATAACTAGAAACCTTTCAAGCTATTAGAGCTACCTAGATTACTTTTCCCAGCAATTACACTGTTGTTTTCTTGTATCCCAGTCTGGATCCCAATGACCAGAAGTCTTTGGAGGGCATGCAGAAGATGGAAAAGGAAGAAAGTCCCACAGATGCCACGGTAGAGCTAGACGGGGACGACATGGAGGGCAGCGGCGAGGAGGGTGACCTGGAGGGCAGCGACAGCGAGGCGGCGCAGTGGGCCGACCAAGAGCAGTGGTTTGGCATGCAGTGACATCGTCCACCAGAAGCGCTGAACACCTCAGAGTAGCAGAGCTGATCTAGGAGCACCTGCCTGCTGCCTCCTGTCCTTATTCAGCTGGGTTTAACAGGCATAACCTGATCCTAGATCAGCATTGTTACTCTTGAGGAGATTTGACACATAATATAGGGGTCCTGCGTACAAAATCTGGTGCAGCGCCTCCTGCTGGCTGGGAGATGTGGCCGAGCAGGCACAGAGAGAACAACTTCTTTTCTGAAGTTGAAGGACTGACAGCCGTGCCTGAACATGGAAAATACTGTTATAGGTGGTGGTACAGGGTCATAAAGAGCAGCCTTTATGAAAGCTGGAAACCGCTTTAGAATGCGTAGAGGAAATAAAGCACTATCATTTCTGTATGTTCTACCTCTACATGTGATGTGGCCGTGTATGTGTACCGTGCTGCCACCTGCTGGTTCACTACACAAATGATCAGTATAGGATACAGTGCTTGTGTGTTCTAATTTGCCTGTGTTCTGATACCCCCCAGTCACTTTGCTGGGTATTTTTCCAGGTGATATCAAGAGCTCTCTCTCTCTCTCTCTCTCTCTCTCTCTCTTCAGACCATGTTTTTACTGAACTTTATGACCATGACAGTAACTACATTTGATGTTATTGTCTCAGCAGCCTTTTCTTAAGAACTTCAAAATAGCAAACGGTCATCAAAAAGACCAGAAGATCTGCTCCCTGATGGCATATATAGGCTGAAAGTCACCAGTTCAGTTCATGTATCCTGAAGTGCTCTTTGTGGTGTTGCTTTTAAACGTTTAACATTGTATGGTATTGTAAACTGTGAATAATACTATTTTTGAATGTTAAGGAATAAAAATCATGACAGATGCTTTAGTAAATATCAATTCTTGTTCTTTTTCTGTTGATATTGCACTTTAAAGTGTCCATATCCTGAAAAAATCAAATTTTCGTTGCTCTTAACCTCTTATTGACCTGGGTATATTTTGGTTTTTCCATCTTGATTTACATGACCAAATCATAAGGCACATTATTCAGTAACTGCATGAAATAAATGTAAATTTTTATTATTATTTTTTTAAAGCTACTCTTAAATTAACAGAACATGTTTTATGATCACACACATATTGCTATATGCTTACAATTTATTGCTGAAAGCTAAAAATCTTGGAAGCTCTTTGTATTATTTTATAAAAAATAATTTTTACAGAGCAGATCACTGAAAAGACACCATCTGTTTATAGTTTTTACCCAGATTTGTGGGAAAAGTGGGTCGACTTTCAGTAGACAAAAAAATTGTTGAGTTCAGCTTCTTTTATAATGGTTTAAAATGACCACCCATCTGTTTGGAAAGAGGACAGTTACAGCTCTCATATGACACCCACCTTTTGAATGTACCTCATGAAATATGAAAGTTATGAAGAATATGACGAAGTGCGTTTTGGAACCAACGGTGCTCTTAAGGAGTAGAAAAGGTTCAAATCTGAGTTTGACGTAGTATGTGAACATTTTTAAAGTTTCAGAATGTATTGTTTACTCCCCAGTCCAACATGGTCCGTATATAAACATTAAGCTGCAACAACCCGTTTTGCATTCAGTTTTTGTGATGTCACAAAAACAAACTTTACATATATCTGCCTTATCAGCGTTTAGCAGTTTATTCAGCAGCTTAAATGTGCAGATGGGTTCTCTGTAGAGGACGTTCAATTATTTTCACTTGGAAAATCAACAAAACGTGTAATTTGACCAGGTGTGCCGAGACTTTTGCATATGACTGTTCAGCAGTCATAAAATTTATTTCAATGGGATAATGAGAGGTTGGAAAATGGTCAGGTAAGAATGAATTACAACTCTTCTTAGTACATAAAACCACTTGGGATTCATCATGTGGAACTTAAAAGACATTAAAAGTATACAGTATGGGCTCTTTAAGAACAGCTGTCTTATTTACCACCATGTACAAAATACACATCTGTGACTGATACAATGCAAAGAACCACCAATGCTTTTATTTATTGTCATTTTATTGACCAGAAATCATTGTGATAATAATTACAATAGTCAACACTGATGGGGCAGTGTCCTTCCAATGGTCATCATAAGAACTTAAGAACGACTGGCTGCTTTTCACACTCCTCCATGCTGAAACTCATCTGCTCTAAAACAGGACGCACATCACTGTGCAAAGCAATAGTTATCATTTGGTTGATATACACATCTCACAAAAAAAAATCCTCTGGAAAAAAAAACAACAAAAAAAAAACAGGTGCCGTCACTAATGCCGTCTGGTATTTCTTATATATATATATATATATAAATTAAGTGTTGCTGTGCTATACAAAAGCTTATAGTTTTACCAGCACAAAATGCCTGAATAGCTGGAGGGGCATGCACCATGAAGAATTAATTCCCTTCTGAAAATGATACATTTCCACCAATTTTGTCTTCTCTATTCATTTAAAATGAACAAACCTCCTTTTTTCTTTCTAAACTAATTATACATCTTTTTCTTTTTAGCACAGTTGGCATGCAGGTCTTGGATGATGTGGTACTGCTCAAAACACACGCACTAAACTACTGAAACCTTTACAGCTTCTGCAAGGGTTACCGAGAGAGCCAGCCAGGCTCAGATGGCCCGCGCTGAGGGGAAGAGAGAGAGAGAGAGAGAGAGAGATGTAAAAACAAAGATGGAGAGGCTGTTTCTAACAAACAGTTAAAGAAATGATCAGGGCCCGTATTCGTCAGGCTCCTCCGAGCAGGAGTGCTGATAACAGCATCTGTTTCTGTCAGTAAGATCATCCTGAATAAGAAAGAAATCTGGTCCTAGATTAGCACTCTTACTGAATACGGGCCCAGAAGGACAAATCTGCTGTAAAAGAATTAATAAATAAAATGAGTGAACAATCTAATGCTTTACAAATGAGCATTATTCCAATATGCCCACACTTTCCTTATTTTCTGAAGAACAGAGGATTCCTACATACCAGGCAACAAAGCACTTTTACAACAAATGAATGGGCTTAAAGGGGACATCCACTGAATTTTCAAAAATTCAGCATAATTAATTAGGTCACACAGAGGCTTGAAGTGAAATGGTTAATTTTAGTGAAATTTATTGACTTGGATTTCTTTACAGTGTTGACATGAACCAGGGGTCATGATGTCTGCAATGCAAATATAGTCATTTTATTTACTATCCAAAAACAAAATGAACCGACACCTTTCTTCTGAGTTTTATATGTGGTGATAATGGTGAAATGGTGGGAAAACAAACTGTGCAGCAACAGATAAGTCTCTGCATCTACAAGGTGGACCAACAAGGTAGGAGTGTCTAATTGAGTGGACAGGGTTTAAAATTCAGCCGCACTGCTGTATCTGATCCACTCGTACCAGCACAACACACACTAACTCACCACCACCACATCAGTGTTACTGCAGTGCTGAGAATGATCCACCACCCAAATAATACCTGCTCTGTGGTGGTCCTGTGGGAGTCCTGACCACTGAGGAATAGGGTAAGAGGGGGCTTTCAAGGTATACAGAGAAACAGATGGACTACAGTCTGTAATTGTAGAACTACAACATGCTCCTATATGGTCAGTGGAGCAGATAAAATGGACAGTGAGTGTTGTTCATTACTGTTCTGTATACTAATTTTCAGTGAGAGCTTTAAGAGGCATCTGGATTTCTGGTTCACCACCACTGTGAACAGTTCTGACTCACTCAAGGTTTTCTAGAGCAGAGCATTTCACATCAAAACCCTCTGAATGACTTAGTCTATATTTTAACCACTTAACTGTGCTGAAATTTGAAAAAAGAAAATCAGTGGAATTCCCCTTTAAGACTACAAAACCAGGGACCTCAAGGTACAAAAGCTGGAGAGCCACATCACTGCACAGTTCAGTGTTTTGTGAGTTTTAACTGATTATACTTGTGAAGTGGACCAAATTGCATTAAAAACATTAATAGCTGTATCAATAAATCATTAAATCAATCAATCAATGATGAAGCATACCATTATATTTTTGAATATTCTGCTAAAATTTATGAGAACTTGAATCATTAGTTAAATATTCCAACATATAATGATACACTTCATCATTGACTGATTTATTGATGTAATTATACTTGTGAAGTTGAGCAAAGTTACATTTAAAAATGAATAATTACATCAATAAATCCATCAATGATGAAGCATACCACTATATTTTAGAACATTAAAGTTCTCTTAAATTTGATAACCCCTTTCCTAATTGAGGGCTGCGGCTGATTAACTTTACATTTCAGTATTTCCAAATGTCATTACTTTAAATAATAATGTTCTCATTGCATATTCAGAAATAAAACGGTGCACAATCAATAATTTAGTGATTTAATTTCATTTTGAGAGATCTGGTCCTCCCCATTGAAGGGGTTTAGACGAAGAAGCTATGAACTTACACGATCAGCTGGCTCACAAGCTTTGGAGGTTGGGGAGCCCAGCACAAAACCAGGTTAAAACTCAATAACTATCACTTTAAGGCAACAAATGCAAGAAATCATCAACATCTCTCCTACAGTAGCAGTTATGAGGAGGTGAGGATGTTACAGCAGACGGTTACAGTCGGGTACTGCAATGGGAGGGAAAGGCAGGTATTATTTTAAGACACGTTTTGAGTGAAGCATGCTCTCAGAGAACCTGAATTAAGACATTCTTCATCAAGTAGAGTTAATATTAAAAAAATAGGGAGGATCTGTTAGAATCGTAACTCAAACATGTGCTATATACACATTTACACAGACCTGCACCCAGCAGGCCTTTTTAATGGCAGGATGCACAATCCCAGAATTCTTCTCTAAAACTCCTATTACACCAGGGACGTTTGTGCTGAATCTATTCATTTGGATACTAAGATTTACTCTTATAGACGTACAGTAAACACACGATCACTCACACACCATTGCTGACCTACAGTTATAGGACTGTGCCTCTCTCCACAACCATGAAGAGGTCATGAAGAATAAAAGTAACCCAAACTTTTCAAAGTAAACATGTTCACTGAAGAACTTCTTGGTAATATGATTAAATAAATACAAAAGGTATTGTTCATCTATATACAGCACTGTACGAGTCAGATACCGCCTTTCACTTAATTTGCAGTCAAAATGGCCTTTAAGAACAAGTTTTATTTTTAAGCGTCAGAAATAAAATAAAGAAAAAAAATCACATAAAATTACAAAGTAGCCTCAACAACTAAATATCATTTTTTCAGTATTTATTGTGTCCACCCTTTCCTACAGCCTCTATTTCTTCCTGCTCTTAGTGTATTCACAAAAAATCTGATTTTCCACACTTCAAAATTTCCGTCTTAGAAGTTCATTTTCTGCTTCTCATGATGAGGTCTGGGCTCTTGGGTGGACAGTCTATTGTTCAGAGAACACCAGCAGCTTCTCTGCAAATTGCAGCTTGATTTTCTCCTCTTTCTCAAAGAAGAAAGCTTTAAGTACTGTTTATCTGGTGGGGACAGTTTTTTGGTGGTCTATCACGAGTCTTACTTTCTCTGTAACTCTTGTTAAAGGGGATTTCCACCAATTTTTCAAATGTCTGCATAGTTCAGTGGTTGAAATGTAAACAATGCCATTCAAAGTGGTTTGATGCAAAATAGTTTATTTGTAGAGAAACTTGTTGACTCTGATTTATTTATAGTGGTGGTGATAAGAACCAGGGGTCCTGATGTCTACAACACAAATACTGCCATTTAATTTAATATCCAAAACCACCAACGTACACAAGTCTTCTGAGGTTTTTATGTGTAATGTTAATGGTAAAATAGTGATACATCTGGGGAAAAAAAAAGTTTTCTTTGGGGACTATTTTGCCTTAGAACACTCTTAATGTATCCCTCCATCTTGAACAGATTAGAATAAATTGATTAAATCACATTTCAGGCCAAAACTCCTCAAAACTACTGTAAAACAATGTCTTAGACATCAGGCTGAGTATTCATAAGCATTTAATGTAATAACTTCCTGTGATGTAGCGTTTAGAGGCCTTAAACTCTTCAGACGTCTGGTTCCTATCACTACCACTGTGAACGATTCAGACTTACTAAGTTACTCTAGAATTAAGCATTTTGCACGAAACTACTCTGAATGACTTTGTTTTCATCTTAACCACTTCATTATGCAGAATTTATGCAGAATTTATGCATTAGTTCCCCTTTACATATTTTTCCCCCCACTTATTTACATTGACTTTCCCCTTTTTATGCAAGTGGATTATATCTAATCTCTTCAGAAAAATCTTTTGAAAAATGAATAACTTGTAATTAATGGCCATTTGACTGTAAAGCGTGGTATCTGTCTATTGCAATGTACTGTAATTGTCAATAAACAAATGTTAACCGGGCTGCTGTATGTTCTCATCTTTAAAAAGGTGTAGCCAGGCTGGTCTTTGACAGAGAATCAAAATTAAAGTTAACTGGACACCACTGAAACTGAGGTAGCTGAATTCTGCAAAATGCAGTAATCAATTTAGTTACAAGTAAAAGAAAGTAAAAAAAATCCAAATATTATAAATTAGTGGTTCAAAGAGTAAGAAATCAAAAACATTAGACCGGGGGGGGTAAAGACATGATACTCTCTAGCTAATGACGCACAAATGAAACACATTCGGTCTGCCCCCGCACTAATATAGCCAAGCCCTCTTTTCCTAAAAACTTATCATTATATCTTTTTACTGTAACATGTGATCTCATAAATGACTACAAGGGCAGCTGAGAGCAATACAGCCTTTATAAAGAAAACAAAAAGAAACCAAAACCAAACGTGTTAAGTTTGTTTTAAAATGGAATGGTTAAAATGTGAATAATGATAGTCGTCACTCTGAGCTAATCATATATAAAAACCCAAACAAACATACAGTTTGTGGATGCTTGTGCAAACGTCGACTTGGTTAATGTGTTTCCTGGTTAATGGCGTTCTCTTTTGTGTGTTAGCGTCACTGCAGGTCTCACATCAGTCAGGAGGACCACAGCAGGCGGCTCATGTTAGTGTCCGTGCTGTACAACCACACCACCAGGGGGAGTGAGAGAGCTACAAAGGGCCAAGAGATGCCGTGGACGCATGCTGAGAGGGAGCGGCCTCCCTTCCGGGGCACCGGCTCTAGCTCTTTACCCGGCTCCAAGTAGTTTCGAGCGACGAACTTGAGCACTTCGTCCAGCAGGATGACTGGCACAGAGATTTTCAGCACCATCAGCCACTGACTCACGTTCAGAGGAGTGATCTGGAAGATGACCTGGTTAGAGTGGAGAGAAAGAGACTCAAGGTGGAGAAAAAAAGTGCACCAAATATATTCTGTTCTGATATGATTCCACAATTACTGAATTAATTGTATTATTTAGTTTAGTAAATTGCAATTAATCTAATTTGTCATATTTGCTCAAATTTAACCATAAAGATTTTTTCCTCATAAAAAGCAGTGCATTTTGCTACAACTATATGGGCGGACAAATCTTCATAGGAATACTGTTACTTTAAATAATTCAATAGCAGTATTTTGTGATCATTGGATTCACATGAACATGAAAATCATGTGATTTCCACAGAGTTAGAGAAGTTTCCAATTTTCATCACCGGTGTCCAATGAGGGCATCAGTGTCTACATGTTCCAACCAATTAGTGTATAAATCATACACACATCATACACCTTGTTTCTATGCTTTGTTAGCCCCCTTTTACCCTGTTCTTCAGTGGGTGGTGGATCATTCTCAGCACTGCAGTAACACTGACGTGGTGGTGGTGTGTTAGTGTGTGTTGAGCTGGCCTGAGTGGATCAGACACAGCAGTGCTGCTGGAGTTGTTAAACACCTCAGTGTCACTGCTGGACTGAGAATAGTCCACCAACCAAAAATATCCAGCCAACAGCGTCCTGTGGGCAGCGCCCTGTGACCACTGATGAAGGACTAGAGGATGACCAACACAAACTGTGCAGCAGCAGATGAGCTATCGTCTCTGACTTTACATCTACAAGGTGAACTAACAAGGTAGGAGTGTCTAATAGAGTGGACAGTGAGCGGACACAGTGCTTAAAAACTCCGGCAGCACTGCTGTGTCTCACCCACTCGTACCAGCACAACACACACTAACACACCACCACGTCAGCGTTACTGCAGTGCTGAGAATGATCCACCACCCAAATAGTGCACCTATATAGTAAGTGGAGCTGCTAAAATGGACAATGAGCATAGAAACAAGGAGGTGATCATTAAGTTATGCCTTTCATTCTCGTTCATACAGCTCGCACATTCTTGATGCAGCAGTCTCTTGGAAGGTGCTAAATATTTTTCATACTTTAAAAGCTGCATTTGAACAAAAGGGGTCCAACTGCAAATTCTATAAGAGCAACATACTCCATGTAAGCAGCTGGGCTTCAGCCTGGATTACTACAGAGGGTGTGAAGGGCCAAACTAGGAAAATCTAAACAGTGGCATTAAAAAAGTGGTGTTATCAAGTGAACTAAAAAGAGCCCTCTTTATAATGCAACACTATTCAGGTTCATATCATAGATTTAACCATATTCCTGGTTCTTGGTGCTAGAAGACCCAAGCAGAGCTGGAGAAAGGCGGAAAGAAGAAGTGCAAGGCTGGGAAAAATGGTCCAAATGTGCACCAAAGGGGACAGATTTTTTCCCCCTCATATTTTTTTTTTTTAGAGTTCACTTCCATAACTCTTATAATATAAGATGATGTCAAGATGAAATCCTATTCTTGGCCCCGGCTCTACTACAAACTGCCAAGTTGCGGATCTCCAGACTGGCCTGCTCTTTCTCCCCTCTAAAATCTTACCGGCAACGGCTCCACATAGAGGATGAGGAAATGCAGGGACATGGAAAGGCAAATGGCTCCCAACAGCCAAACATTCTCCCATGGGGGCATCCGCAGCAGAGACTGGTTCTCAGACAGACTGGGCACAGAGATGGAGAGAGAACAGAAGTTTATTATTATGGTTTATGCTCTTCTTTTGGGGCAAGAGGTAGCCACGGTCACTGAGAGAAAGAAGCATGGGCATGAGCAAGTGAGAACAATGAGGCTTTAACTGAAGGATTTTTCACAATTTCATTCAGAGGGCTTCACATCACACTCCTTTACCAACAAGTTAGGGCTGCATAATATATTCTTTGTTAAAAGGGACATTCTGGCCCAAAACTGTCATTTAATATTAATTAATAACATTGTTTGTGCTACGTAACACTGTGCAGGGCAGGACTGCATCTCTCAGCCTCATCATTCGCAATTTTATATCCTTTCCGAGTTTTTGCACAACACGCATTACACAAACACGTCGTATAATAACTAGCTAACCCCATGGCTGATAAATACAGACGTGATATTCAGCTTCCGAGCAGTATCGTTAGCTATTTAGCTTCTGAAGTGCTTGCAGTTTTTCAAAAGTTCCTTGCACCTTAAGATATATCAGCGAGAGTTTCCTAGTCTTTAAACTGAAAAATTTCAGTCTAGGGACTATTGCAGCACTGCTGCAGGACGTGAGTTGGTATGCTTACAACAAATGTAGAGAAGGTTAAATTTTGGCCACAGTGTCCCTTTAATCATTCTTGCTATGTTAGTTTTTGCAATACTGATATCATAGAAGACTAATTAGTTCAAACTGCACACTGCAATATGCATAGTCCTTCAACCAATTACGATCTTAACAATACTGGCCTTTGCAAAATCGTGCAAATAAGCCTTCTAACCAAATCACACGTTGCTGTGTACATGCTGACCAATTATACTTTCCAATCAGAAACTATTTTGGTTAATCAAGATGTTCACATGATCCAATAAAGGTAAATTATTGTGGTCAAAATAACGCAGGCCAACCTCTAATACTGTCACACTGAAAGATCAGTATCTTTAACAAATTACAAGATATTAATGCAATTGTAATATGTAGCAATAGTACCATGATACTAGTAAACTGTTCATACTGTGCAGCCCTGTTGATGTTTAATCAATTATTCTTCCTATCCAAATACCTCCATTGAAATAATTACTATAAATAATGCTGACATGTATGTTACTGCATGGTACGTTTTACATAATCAGTAAATTCTCATAAAAACACCTTGTCTAACGTTGGATGCTGCACACCTAACCAAACTTACGGGACTCAGAAACCCAATATTTCTTACTAAATACAAAATTCTCTATTGTTGCTCAGTGTAACACACCTGTTGAGAGCGTTGCACATCTCAATGGTGACCAGCACAGACAGGGCCATGGTCATGGGGTACGGAGACTCAAACACATGACACTCCAGATCGTGAAAATCAGGATGATCAGGAGCACACTGCAGGAAGTGGCTCTGGATGTGAGACCGAGCAAGAGAGAAGAGGTGCCACACAAAGAGGGGGAAATACCAGTTAAAATTAAACAAACAAAAAAATTCCACAAACTGAAATAGCAAAGATGTCACTAAAGCTGAACTGGATGTACTGTATTGTACATACAGCCTGCCCGGGAAGTCTGCCAATACGAGGTCTTCCACTCTAAATCCCAGAAGTATCGCTCAGACCTCACTTAAGAGCACTTACCAGCTGGTAGAGGGTGACCTGAGGTCCGTCATCAGCCACAGTGAACCACCAGGCTGCTGCTCCCACTGTAGCGGCACCCACGTAGCCTGCAAGACACAGTACAGACACACTGCAATTACCACCTACAATTCCCCACATCGATGGCTCTCAATTCCACTCTTAGGGGATCTATGAAACCTCAGTTTAGAGCTGTGCCTGCTCTTTAGCTCGTCCAACTGATTCTCAGTTTAATGAGTGGAAACAGGTATCAGAGCAGGGACAATAAAGTTGAATTGTTAGTGTCCTCCAGAACTAGGACTGGTTTCACCGATTGACCAGAAGATAGCAACAAGAAGAAACCTGGACTGCCCTGGAGTCATCCCAAGCCTATAGGCCATCATGAGATTACACTCCAACTACACTTCTTAGGTAAAATTTTAATTTTATGTTACAGTTCCATTGAAATCAGTAAGTGAGTAATGCATTTTTTTCCTATTTCTCATTACCAACTGTCTAACACAGTGTGAGAAAACATGTTACCAAGTCTAACTGAGGTTACTTAACAACTTGATGTGGTTTCAGTAAAGCACGCAATGAATTAGGCATTCATTTGGCATGATGCTTTTTTCAAACAATTGTTTTAACTATGCAAACTGTATAGTTGCTCTTAGTGCAGTTAAGGTGACTCACAGCCAATGGCCAGGTATCTGAAAAATAGCCAGCCAGAGATGAGGGGCTCCTTGGCATTGCGGGGCTGCTTGTTCATGATATCCAGGTCGGGGGGGTTGAAGCCTAGAGCGGTGGCGGGCAGGCCGTCTGTCACGAGGTTCACCCACAACAGCTGCACCGGGATCAGAGCCTCAGGGAAACCCAGTGCGGCCGTCAGGAAGATGCTGGAGTATAAAGGAAAAAATATATATACACATGAGGGCTCCTGCAGTGATTAATCCTCAACACTATCAATTGATGTGTTGTTTATTTAAAACTAAAAGCACTATAGAGAGCTCTACAATGTTCATATGATGCACAGGATCATTCTGATAGATACAGATGCTATATATTACAGGAAATTCTGGAGGTGATATGGCTTTTACTGTTTCATTGTACCATTAAACAACAGTTGCTTGTTACACAGACAAAATGAGAAGAATCCACAGAATGTACAGTGATAATATTAACCAATTAATCAAATTATAGTAGATAGTGGACTAATCAAAAATAATGCACAGTTATGGCCCTACAAAAAAAATATGTAAAACCGCAGCAATCCTGGGTCCAGATCCAAAGCGTAGAAAGCAAGTGCCGTACTGGGGAACGAAAAGCACTAGATTATAGAACTAAAGAGGACAATGGGACCGGTCACTGTCTCTAGTAACTTTATGATGCACTAAAGTGCTTTCAAAAGTCTGTAGAGGCTCTTACACTCTATGTAAATACAGTCTGACTGATTGATTTGCGAGAAAAAGACTGATTGGAGACTAACCAGACGACCTCTCCCACGTTGGAGGAGATGAGGTAGCGTATAAACTGTTTCATGTTGTTGTAAATGGCTCGTCCTTCCTCAACAGCAGCCACAATAGTTGCAAAGTTGTCGTCAGCGAGGACCATTTCCGAGGCTGTCTTGGCCACGGCAGTGCCAGAGCCCATGGCGATGCCAATCTCTGCCTTCTTCAGGGCAGGGGCATCGTTCACCCCATCTCCCGTCTGAGGAGGCAGAAACAGAATGATAAAGATAACAGTGGTTATTATTCAGTGATGAGAATGGCTAAGAAATCTATTCAACGTTCAGAGCAAGGCTATGTAAGGATAACAGTTTCAGACTTATGAAATGAACTAAAAAAGTGACGATTATTAAACTGTAATTTTCAGAAAAGCACTCTGTTGTAATTTAGAGGCTGATGTTCTAGTCCTATTCTGGAACTGAAGTTGTTTGCTAATATACATAAATTTAAACAGCACTGTTGTTAGAAAGTGTCTGCAGTGCCAGACACTGGCCTACAATACACAGCAATTTCTGGCTGTGACTTAGTTGTAGGTTTAAGAAATTTCTAATATAACAAAAAAACAACACTAAACTGCTAACTGGGTGACTGACTCAGAGGGCTGCAACATTAGGTTCTACATTTGTGTGATAAAGCTGTGTGGGTGGTTTGGAGGCTGTTACCATGGCAGTGATCTCATCGAAGCCCTGAAGGAACTCCACGATCTTGGACTTGTGTGAGGGCTCGACGCGGGCGAAGCAGCGGGCGGCCGTGACTGCCTCAAGCTGGGCGTGGGGGGAGAGGTCATCAAACTCACGACCTGTGAAGGCCATGCGCTCAATGTCGTCGTCCTCAGAGAAGATTCCGATGCGTCTGCAGATCGCCACTGCCGTGCCCTTGTTGTCACCCGTGATCATGATGACCCGGATGCCAGCCTGGCGACAGAGCTTGATGGAGGCGGCCACTTCCGCCCTGGGAGGGTCTAGCATGCCCACGCAGCCCACAAACGTCAGATCAGACTGGACAGGACAGGGAGGCGATAGGTACGATTAGCTGTTTGCTCAGTTGTCATAGACAAAACAAAGGGACTACAAATAAATTTCGTAACATTAAAGATTTACTGTAAGCATGAAAGATGAGACAAAGTTAGTTGTAAATGATGATCGAATCCCATATCGCAGGTATGATGCAGAAAATGTGTTAGTAATAAAAAAAAAAAGAGCATGAAGATGTTGGACCACAGCACCACTGCAATAAGCTGGCACCAACAGGAGCTTTATACCTCATACTCTGGGAAGCGCACTGTGTCGCTCAAAACCATCTCCTCCTTCTTGGGCGGGCTGTCGCGGGTGGCCAAAGCCAGGCAGCGTAGTGTGTCCCTCCCAGTGCCATATTCCCTGATCACAGACATGATCTTTTCCTTAATGCCCTGAGACATGGGCACCCGGGTGCCGCCCACTCGTACATATGTGCACCTGTCAATCACTCCCTCTGGGGCTCCCTGTAAAGACAGTAGTATAGTTCTACTAGTAGAGAATTGTGAGCTGATGCTGATATCCACATTTTGGCCAAATCTAAACATCTGTCTGAATCCAGTTTTTTTTTTTTCATAAATAATTGCCAATACTGTATACGAGTCCAAGCTCATCATTGCAAGCATTTCTAATCATTAATGACATTACAAACAAACTATTCCTTTAAAAATGTCGTGCTCTAACAGCCTCAATGTAAAAACACTTAACTCATTGTTGAAAAATGTTCAGGTTTTGCAGATTCCCTGCTGAAAAATCCTCTTTTATCTAGGATTAATCTGGGCCACATATGTCAGACTCCAGTCCTGGCGTACCACAGCTCTGCAGAGATTAGTATTCTACCACATTAAAAACACCTGTTTCAACTCAGCAGATCATTAGCAAGCCATTGTGAGTTGTATACAGCATGTTAGAAGAGTGAAGACATTCTCTGCAGAGCTGTGGCTGTCCAGGAACACAATCTTGACATTCCTGAACCGCGATGTTGAGAAAAGCTCACAAAAGTCCTCTATAAACATGCTGACAGAAAGAGGTCTTTGTCAGGCTGAGACTGAGGAAACGTAGCCAGTTACCTTGACAAACATCTTGCTGGAAGTGGACTTGCCCTTGCTGGGGGAGCAGTAAACAGACATGGACTTCCTGTCCCGGGAGAACTCCAAGGTAAACTCCTTCTTCATCAGCTGCTTGATCACCTGAGAGACGCATACACATGACTTAAGTAAGAGGGCTTAAATTATAGTGCTTAATATGAATAAAATCTGATTTATATAGTGGTGTTTATAGTTTGGTTAGGCTTTGCTGTAGGATATTTACTGCATTGCAAGCATTGGCTCTCTCAATCCTGGAAAGGTTTCTGACATCCGTGTCAAACACGTTCATCTTCTCCACCAGACAGGTTAGAGCCGTCTCTGTGGCCTCTCCCACCTTCTCATACACACCTTTAGACTGCAAACAAAAAAAAATATTCTGTATCAGCCACACAGTTAAATAAATATCTCTATTTATCTGCCTATGTGGTTAACTACATCATTAAAATGTCTCACAAATGAACTAAAAAACCACAAATGTCTTTCCTCTGAATGCTAAATGTGGTGTGTGGTGTGTGGTGTAATCTCCAACTAGAGTGCAGGATTGCGATGCTACCTCATTGAAGTCCAAAGAGGAGTCGTTACAGAGAGCACAAATGGTGGCCAGCTCTACCAGAGCATCATATCCAGAGCATTTCACCACCCGGTTATCCAGAAACCTGCAGAGTGAAGTAACAGCGTCAGAAAATAGAACCCTAAAGTCAATATGTTTGTAGAAAGTATGATTAAAATGATTTATATTTCACTAACAGAAAACATGAATAGGATTGAAGAAAATTTTAATTAGTACTTTTTAATTAGCACACTTTCTGAGAAGTTACCTGAGCTGCATTGTTATGTACTTTTATTACGGCTGTCAAACAAAAATAATCACAATCGCATTATTCTGTGTAGCTAATCGCAATTAATCTGATTAAATCACATGATTTCCATAGAATCAACACAGTTTCTAGTTTTCATCTCCAATGTCAAGTGAGAACATCAGTGGCTGCATGTTCCAATGAGTGTGTCATATGTTAGGGTAACCATATCTTGGCCTTCAAAAAAAGGACACAGCAGGCAGAAGGAGGGCAGAAGGAAGACCACAGAAAGCAAATGTCAGCTAGAAAGTACAGCCAATTTCGGGACATTTTAGGCAATTTAGGAATGCTGGCCAAACGTATTTTTCAGGTCCGAAATGAGGACGTCCAGGAAAAAAAGAATGTATTGTCACCCAATCATAACATACGGTCAATGGTTCCAACTTCTCCACAGTTGTAGCCTCTCACTCTTGCTCTTGTTCAGGAATCATTGTTACAGTGGAGACTCTACAGGGAAACCGTAGTTTTCCATTTTACTGTTACTTTTATTAGTTTGCTGATCGTCTCTCTTGAGCACTGTCCAGCGTATTCTGCCGAAGGTGCAGAAGGTGTTGCTACAAAAACCATTCGGGTTTAAAAGCTGTTATTACAAGTCCTACAAGTCCTACTGCAGTACTTACACATCTCCCTCGGGTGCGTATGTGGATCCAGAGATGGTGAACTCAGTCAGAGAGCAGCTCTCACCCTCAGCTTTGTCCAGAATGAACATCTAGGGAAACAAAAATAATATACATTAATCAGGCTTTGCTGAGTCCTGTTACGCAAGTGTTAAGCAGCAAGATTTGCCCAGATCCCCTGGATAACTGCATTATAAGTGACATGTGCACATGTTATGATATTGGCTGGGGCTGCAGGGTTTAGGTTCACTTGTTCGTTCTCTCTCCTTCTAGCTGTGATGCTGTATTTTTACTTGCTCTTTCTGCAGTCCTTCAGAAACAGCTGTCAGTATCTTCCCTTTCCTTTCTTGAGTGTGCTTAAAGTAGGACAGACTTTGCATGTGTTATTTAATTAACATTTAATTAACAGAATGCAGTCTTTTTTCAGTATATTGATTATGCACTGACCGTATGAGAACAGCAGCATTAGTATGAGAATGGCAACATTAACTCAGGAGTACCTGTATAGTGAGTAAACTGTGTAGGGAGCACCAGACTTTTTATAACTGTATATAACTTGCCATATTTAACATAATCCTAAATAAACTTGTCATGTTTAGTGAGTTACAGATCTCCTACTTTAAATCTGTTGAACACAGTGACTGAATGGCCGTGACGAGCATTAGAAGCTGTAGAGAGAAAATAATGTCGACTCTTCACATTTTTTTAAACTGTTTTTAAACAGACGAAAAGCAGTAATAGCAACATTACAATAATTGTTTGTATATGCCAATCCAATAATATGATAATTGCCATCCTGATTTAGAGTATGGAATGTTAGCCACTCTAAAGTTGGGGTGGGTAACTGAGTGTGCTCCCACAGGAAGACCTCCCATAAACATTCAAAATGACGGCACAGTAACGAGAGAGAGAGAGAGAGAGAGAGAGAGAGAGAGAGAGAGAGAGAGAGAGAGAGAGAGAAAAGAGAGAGTGGTAGTGCTTAATACTTATTTCCCATGTCTGTCACAGACCAGTAAAAAGCTGAATCATGTAATAAAAATGCACACTGCAGCCAAGCAATTACTACAAAGGGCACATCACTACTGCTGCAACTGACCGTCCATCAGGCTCTCTAGCTGTTCATCTAGCTTATCTGACTCCTGTAGCTTTTACTGCATCATCCCCTCAGACTCTACAGCCCCCCACTGATCTAAGTAAAGTAAGTAAACAGTACATACACGATAACAAACATAACAATTATTAACAAAATAATTAAAAATAACAAACTAAATAGCTGATCAAGAAAATAGAAATAATAAATAGCAATAATAAAATTGCCTCAGAGCAGTGAGCACTAAGCACAATCATCCTTAAGCTTATCCTAATTAAAGCGCTTCAATTAAAACACAGCTCGTTTTAAATAATCATCAGTATCAGCCGATACTCAAGGTTTCAGGATCAGAAAAGAAGAACGGGTATCGTGCCAGCTCTAGATCTGAGACTTTCCGTTGAGAAAGCCAGCCGAATTCGGCCCACTGCAGATCTCCATCTCTGCAGGAAGAGGATCAGGGGCAGAGAGCGAGAGACCACCGAACTGAGCAGAAGGATGTAAACACCGAGACAGTCATGGTGGTAGAAGAATAGCAGATGGTAGTTGGACCGCATGGCTCAGAAGTATGCCATTTAGACCCACAGACAGATTGTCCTAACAGGTGTTACAGAAAGGCTTCCTGCCAATCATTAATGTGAATAAGTACATCATAAAGCCTGTCCTGATTACACTAATATGATTTTCACATCTTCGGTACCAAGCCCCTTTTCAGTATGTTCAGAAAACCTGCTGTTTCTCTGTGCAGTGTGAACTCCTGAGGTTGTGAGGGTCGATCACAGTGAGGTGATGGCAGATTTCACAGCTGTGAGGTTACCAATAGATCCAATACCTGATGTTGTAAATGATGAATAAAAGCCAGTAGGGACCAATTTGCATTATACAGCTAGACCCTACTGGCCATAAAAGTTAGTTCAGAGAAAAATCCGATTTACAAGATTTTCCCTTTCACATATGTAGCCATGGCATGTTTGGTGCTGCTTGATGGGGTAATCTTCCATTACTTCGAGCTATGAGGCTAATGAAGCTAACGACACAGAAACTAAAGAGGAAAACTTTTGACACTAAACATATCTTGGCACATAGACTACTTTTGGAGTAAGGAGAAAACTCTACACCCCCCCCACCGGGCAAAATTCATTTTTACATGATTTTTACATTTGCCAACCACTCTTTATCCCTTAGGATAAAACAGACTGTTTCTGTGCCTTTAATATTGATATATGTAAATGACCTCTGGTCTGACTGACCGCCTTCTATCAAAAAGCAGTCCAGGTTGAAACACTCCTTATAGCATCAGATGAATGCATGGAGCCAAACTGCTGAAGGTTGAACGGGTGTCTATGTGTAAATCTATTAGTTGTTAGGACATCATGCAATAAATTCACAATGAGCTGAGTTTTTGCAGCTTAGTTTTCATATGTGGACTGTATGGACTGGAGAGCGAACAGTACATTTTGAAAGTTTGAAGTGTATACATACTATACCAAACCCATGATATGGGCCCTTTAAATTAGAACTATCAGGAGCAGCCTGCATACTCACTCTGCACACAGACATCTGATTGGTGGTGAGGGTGCCAGTCTTATCAGAACAGATGACCGATGTGCAGCCCAGAGTCTCAACTGAAGGCAGGGAGCGGACAATGGCGTTCTTCTTGGCCATGCGGCGGGTGCCCAAGGCCAGGCAGGTGGTGATGACAGCGGGAAGCCCCTCTGGAATGGCGGCCACAGCCAGCGCCACAGCGATCTTGAAGTAGTAGACGGCACCGCGGACCCAGGAGCCACCGTGCACGGGGTCGTTGAAGTGGCCGATGTTGATGATCCACACGGCAATGCAGATGAGGGAGATGACCTTAGAGAGCTGCTCGCCGAACTCGTCCAGCTTCTGCTGCAGGGGAGTCTTCTCCTGCTCAGTGGACGCCATCTCGTCTCGGATCTTACCGATTTCAGTGTTCACACCTGTGGCCACCACCACGCCCACAGCCTTACCAGCTGCGATGTTAGTGCCCTTTGAAAGACAAATGAAAAGGGTCAGACAGAGTGTTTTAACAGCAAAAATTTGCTCTTGTTTTTGCCTTTTTGATCCCAAAACAAAACAAAAAGGTCAGGTAAGTAAAGGAGCAGTCTGGAGGAGTCTTCTAATATGGATCGACATTTAATAAAAGTAATACAAAGAAATGGCAGGGGGAGCCTGATAGGGCTCCACTGATAGCCAGCGTAAAAGGTCAGCAGAAGCCGCTTTGTGATGGTACTCACAGAGAACAGCATGTTCTTCTTGTCCTGATTGACAGCGCGAGGGTCGGGAACTGGGTCGGTGTGCTTTATGACTGAGACAGACTCGCCTGTATGGAGAGAGAGAGGAGAGAGAGAGAGAGAGAGAGAGACAGACAAGCAGAGAGAAAGCGAGAGAGAAAGAGAGAGCGAGCAAGCATGCGAGAGAAAGAGACACAAACAGAGAAAGTGAGAAAGAGACAGACAGAGAGAGAGAGAAAGCGAGAGAAAGCGAGCGTGCGAGAGAGACACACAGAGAGAAAGCGAGAGAGAGCGAACATGCGAGAGAGACACAAAGAGAGAAAGCGAGAGAGAGAGAGAGAGAGAGAGAGAGAGAGACACACAAAGAGAGAAAGCGAGAGAGACACAAAGAGAGAAAGTGAGAGAGAGACAAAGAGAGACACAAAGAGAAAGCGAGAGAGAGAGAGAGAGAGAGAGAGAGAGAGACAAAGAGAGAAAGCGAGAGAGAGAGAGAGAGAAGAGACACACACAAAGAGAGAAAGCGAGAGAGAGAGAGAGAGAGAGAGAGAGAGAGAGAGAGAGAGAGAGAGAGAGACACACACACAAAGAGAGAAAGCGTGAGAGAGAGAGAGAGAAAGCGCGAGAGAGAGAGAGAGAGACAGCAAAAGGGGGGTTAGCTCCTACATGAAACAAGACACCTCTTAGTAAATGCAAGCACTGCACACACAGAAACCATTCTAACATGCATTGACACTGACTATGCTAAATTACTCTGAAATGTTTGTACAGAAAAGCTGCATATTTAGCTTTTTGTTACCCGTGAGGATGGACTGGTCCACTCTCAGTGTGGTGGACTTGATGGAACAGATGCGGATATCTGCAGGGACTTTGTCTCCCACTGGACAGATGCAAAAAGAGAGAGGGACAAATTAAGTAAAATCAGATGTGTCCTGGGGCCATTCATGTGTTGAACTGCATGCTTGACCCTGAGGACAATTAAAAAAAGAAAAACAAACCAAAAAAAAACACACAACAAAAAAACGTAATACCTATAAGAAGCTGACAGTACAACATTTTAAAAGGATTATAAAACACCCAACCAAGTGATTACTGTTTTAACAGAAAAGTATTCTGTATTTGTTCAGAAATAAGGCAACGCAACCTTACTTTTGCTTTTTGATGGCAAACACTAGAAAATGAGTTGAGCTGTTTTGTGCTGTTGTGAGCCGTTTTCTGGCCTTGATGGGCCTCTTGCAGAAATGTGTAAAAAGCAATGTTTGCTACTGCTGTAACTAACAGCTGTTGAACTTACAAGAACTTATGAGACAAATATCATCTACTTAATAGAATACATCACCCAAAAACACCAACATTGCTACCAACACCCACTGAGTTAGAGCTGCTGAGGTCTATTAGCTTTATGCAAGTCCAAACGAATCAATAGATTCCCACTAGCTTTCATTCACTGTTGGTCATGTTCACATTTCTAGTAGAAGCCTTCATTTAAAGCTACAGATTGCCTGATTAAAGCAGATACACCCTTCTATTTATTCAGCTAGAAGGTTTACAACCAAAACCCATTTTAAGAAGAGTTTTTTTTTTTTTATTATTTATACCTAAGATAACAGAAGTACAGTACTTTGCAAAAGTAAGAGACAACCAATTCTTTAACTTCTAGTCAAAGCTGCCAAGTACAAGTTATTCATTTTTCAGGAGATATTACTGATGATATTTCATTAAAGATAATTCACCTGCAAAAGGAAGGGAAAAGTAAAAGGAAATTTGATGAAAAAATAGGATCAAAACTGGAGTCCAAAAAGCATTACACTGTGACTCCTATTAGCCGTGCAAGACCTGGTAGTCCACCAAAAACCATGAAATAAACAGTCATTTAATTTTTTATCTGTAAAAGATAAAGAAAATGAGGAGAAAATTAAGCTCAACTCCTGCTTGATCTAAAAAAAAAATAAAAAATAAAAATAAAAAATCCACAGCTGTTTTTGGCCATCCTTCCACTGTGAGAAGAAAACACCATGGGTCTGAAAGGATGTATAACTGTCAAGAAGGGCTTACAGAGACAAGGAAAAAGGCCAAAAAAAAGATAAAGAAAAAAGAAAAAAGAAGAAAGAAAATCTGCAAACCAAAATAAAGAACTTGGTGTTCTCAGAACAACAGACTGGCCATCCCAGAGCCCAGATCTCATTGTGTTCGGGATTACTTGGATCATAAAAAGCAGAAAGCCCAACCCAGTTTCTAAGACTGAACATCAGGCACCTGTGTAAAAACACTGGAAAGTGAATAACCTTTAGATTGGGAAATTAAATCAAGTGTGGTCTCTGACTTTTAACTGTAAATCCTAGATCAGCAATTTTGCTCAGAGCATTCTCATTAACTCTGTAATTAACTCGCTTTCAGAACCCACAAGATCAATATACTGATCTATTAATTGCAGCTCTTTGCGTTATGACTTCATTAAAGACAGACTACAAGAGCAAAGAGAAGAACCAAGACAAAGAAACAACCGGAAAGATTCCCTTTTCAGGAGAAAACTGACACATCCTCTCATGCACATTCCCTGTGCCCTTGAGCGAGAGAGAAGAAAATAGCATGGGAGCAACAATGCACTGGGCCAAACATGGGAAAACTATTTTGATCTGTTCCCTGATGCACCGCTGATCAGGTTTAAATCTGGACGCTGGAGAACAGCTGCCCTCAACAGGAAGAGTTGCAGGAGGTGACGGCGCTCGGTTGCCAATCAAACAGGGGCTTCACCAGTAGAAACTGGTCTTTTGCAATGATGCACCACCAGTAGAAACCACGACCAAAGCCAATGTTCAATTATTAGAATAGGAACAGCACACACTAATATTAGAAGCTTGGTCTTCAGTACAAAACGAGTATCAACACCACCACTACCATCCCCAGGCGAGTGACCACAATGCCCCCTAAAGGACGCAACAATTTAGCTGGGTCTCTTAAAGAAGATCCAGCAGTAGACTAAACATATTTAATACATGAATATAAACCCTGGGATTCACTGGTCTGTGTACTGCTAAACATTATCATATCATTCATCACCTGGCCAGTAAGGCTGCAGATGGCCCACCCCTGTAGAACAGCCCACCGTGACAAATGACGGACAACGACAACAATGGCTGCAGCACGGCCTTGGCAGCGGCTGGCACATAGGTGCGTGCAACCTGATCTCAGCGTGGCGGATTTACAAGCAGCCCATGTGCCAGGAGATGCGAACCTCCAGCCAGAGCTGCAGGGGTGAGGGCACAGGGTGCCAGCTATCCATCTATTCAGCCAGTCACCTCTCTTCCCAGAAGGACTTAACGCCACTTGGGTGCATCTTTCAGCTTGCTAAATGAAGAACAATGTACTGAATGAGAGCAACCACACTCCTCTGAAGGTCAGCCGGCATTGTTCACAGGCAGAGGGATTCCATTTCACCCCGTTGCTGCCGGCGAGCAGTCAAACAGTGATGAACAGGTCACGGGGGTCGAGTGGGCAGCAACACTTGGGAAGAACCAGAGCAATGCGCCTTTGAAAATTACAAGGCCGTTGAGTGGAACTTGGACCACAGCGCTCATCAGCTCTTCGACGTCATGTAAAGGGTGGCTGAACTGAAATGTACACGGTGATATTTCACTTTATCTAGACAATAATGGTATAATATACCAAAGAATAAATAACTAAACAAATAATTCACTGATGTTGATGTTATCAAACCTGACATTATACCAGGTTTCTTTTTACACTATATAAAACTAAACTTTTCAGGTGGTCAAAAAGACACCTGGTATTTCCACATTTAGGTGGGCGATATGACAAAAATATAATATCGTGATACTTGCAGACTTTCATGATACGCAACATGTATCACAATATTTTGTTTTTCTGAGGTTTTCTAGTTTGGAACAGACAAAATGTACTAGCATTTAAAAAAAACATTATCAAAAACTATGAATGCAATGATTTTATGTAATGTTTCACACACTGCGCTATACAGTCCTGACCATGCTCTTCGCAATAAAAACAACAAAAGTTGTTTACAGTTCTTTAAGTACTGACAGTATCCACAATAAAAAAGCACACTGTGACGTAATTTATCATGATACAACAATATACGGTCATATTATGTTTAGCTTTACAGTTACATGTTATAACTGTATTCATAATGGTAAAATCTCTGTCCTTGTACTTCATGCTGGTATACCCCAACCCCTAGTCAAAGTACACATATCTAGGTGAGCAGGCTTAGCCAGGGGATTGTCACAGAACTCACCAGAAACAAGAACCTTGCATCTGTTCCACAATAAATCAGCAGAGTGACTGCTACAGAGAAGTCTGTCTGATAAGACATTTATGGATAGGTTTTGGAGTATGTGTGTATAAAACATCCTGGAGAAGTCGGGACAGCTTCATAAACACTTTGAAGATTATGTACGTGTATTTTATCACTGTGCTCTCTGAATGATGTGTGCTGAAGAACATCAGTCAGGTACCATTTGACAGCAACGCCTCAGGACACAATTTACTGCAGCATTAAGCACAGGAAAGTCGTTTTCTGCCCCTCAAAAAAAAAAAAAAATGGACTGGGGCATTCTAGTGCTTCATCCAATCACTGGTTATGGGACAGAATACATAGATAAATATATAATATAATATATAGGCATACGCTGCATAATGACAGGAGATTGACTGGAATCAACTCAAGAGTTTGAACAGATCTTCTAGTAAACAGGTTAAAGGAATACTCCAGTGTTTTTCAACCTAATCTTTGCCACATCTGTAGAGCACAGCTGCTTACCACAGTCAATCAAGCTTTTTCCTGCACTTAATAGAAAGATAGAAAATGTGTTGACTTGAAAGATGTCTATAATGAGTGCATTTCGAGTCATAACTGTCCAGCTTACTATACTTTTTACTGTTTAAAGTCAAGGAGTTTTCTGTTTATATGTAGTAAAGGGTTTAGTAAAGGTGAGTCAAAGTGGATAGGAATCGATAGTACTCTACAGAGGACGCACACAGACAAGTTTGAGAAATGATGCTGTATACCTTTAAGAGTTTACACTCATACAGTAGCTGTTCTGCAGAAGCTACAGCAGCAGCTCTTTTTTCAAAGCCCAGTGTGTGTTTGGAGTGCTATTTGCAGAGCAGCCTGCAGGTACAGGCTTGTCCTCCTCACTTCTCGAGTTGCTGTTAGCAGGTTATCCACCCTCTCTGCTCACACATCCGCCCCCTCTCTCCTCGACCGGGCAGGGAGAGCAGCGGGCCTCTAGAACACCCACGCCAGACCCTCCGCACGCCCAGAACCAGCACAATACCAGGCACATGAGTCACAGGCTGGAGCTGATGAGAGGAGTGGGGTTGGTAAAGAAGGCCAAACAAACTTATAACTCTCCCTTCAATAGACTGCCTGCAGCACAAATCCATCTCTGAGACAGCAAAAACAAAAAAAATAATAAAACAGCACACAGGCAGGAACATGCATACACACCCCACATAGGTGACAGAACAGGTCATAACACCCTGTAGCATTCTCACCACTTTCTCTTCAGTGCACAGTCCCATGGCTCATCTTTACGATGATGTCTGAGGTCAAACAAACACGGCTGCACCACCTGCTGCACTCTGACCGGCAAAAAACTGTGGCTGGAGCTCGAGGTCAAGTGCGTAGTGTTAGCTAAGGTCACATCTAATAGTCCGACCACTTCCTAGAGAAAACTATACTACACCATCCTAAGCAATACAACAAAACAGTATAACCTCACACAGCCAGGACGGCCAGATTATATATGTTAAACCTACGACTGTCAAAGTTAACATGTTAATGACTGTGAGAGGCTCCAATCACAGAAGAGCTGGAGCCACTGACTGGACCGAATAATC